TATAAACATCAAGAACTGATAAAAGTATGTTGCATTCCTGATTTTAATCTAAAGCCCCTAATAATGCCAAAACAAAAAGAAGTGAAAATGTTATGTGTAATACATGTGTAAATGGAAGAAAAGTATTATACTTTTTAAGCTCACAAAACACAGCTACAGCTTCATCCTGGGTGTATACAAGCAGGACAGAAGGAAGGACAGATACTTTCCTGTCTCCCTTGAGCTTCTATTTCTTAAAACCATTTTCTTTTCCTTTACAATCAATCTGAGAAGTTGGTACAGGAGGGAACGAGGATGAACTGTGCCATCTATAGAGATGGTCTATGGCAGCGGTTCTCAACCTATGGGTCGCGACCCCATTTGGGGTCGATCAACCATTTCACGGGGGTCGCCAAGCAAGGCTGTCCGCCATTTTTTCCCCCTTTTCCGGCGGATACCTTACCTCCCTTGAGCTGGGCCAGCTGGTGGTCGGCCTGCTCCATCTCTGCCGCTTGCCAGCTACGCCTCGGCCGGCGCAGGGGGCGGAACCACGCATGTGCGGCGCTCCCGGGCAGGGAAAGTTCTCAACGTACGACCGGTTGGGTAGTCCTTGACTTATGACCGGTTTAGTCCTCAACTTACGACCGGTTTAGTCCTCGACTTATGACCGGTTGGGGTCGCGGCATTAAAAAGGTTGAGAACCACTGGTCTATGGAGATTCTCAGTCATCCAGGTCATAGTTTTCCAAAGGTGCTTTTTCAAGAGGCAACTGGACTTTCTTTTTCTTTGAAGATGTTCCGCTTCTCATCCAAGAAGCTTCTTCAGCTCTATAGAGATGGTATTCTACTTTCCGTGTTGGGATATTTCTTCCAGTCCAGATTCTCCCCCTAATAGATCTGAATTTCCTAATATTAGCAAGCCATAAATTGAAGGGATTTCCAAAGGGATTGGAAATCCTGTCTCTACCCTGGAACAAGTAATTCCAGACTATCATGTTTTATCCACACCTCCACAAAAAATACTTCTATAGTATTATAAAATTAAAATCCAAATAGAGTAAATCATAAATTTTGTGATCTAACAAAAAGAGGTTATGCACAAAACCCTAAGAACTGAATATTACCATTTACGTGAAATTACCTACAAGATCTAGGATGGTTATGGCACAATATTCACTAACAACAACTTTTGAAACAACCACTCTAGCTGGTTGGCCACACCTAACAATTTTGGCTGATCAAAAAAAAACAAAACTCACAGATGGGAGACCACCAGGAAACCTAAGGTAGTAAACTATCAGGAGAAAAATATAGAGGTGGCCTAGTCATATTCATTGAATAAATAAATTGCATATCAAATGTACGAAAGAAAACTGAACAGCTGTGAGAAAGGGGAAGATCAAGAAAATCATGGCTGGATGGAACTGATGAGATTGCAAGACAGAATAGTGACTTTAAAAAATAAAAGGCAATATATGGAATGATTATGGAGATGATGGAAGCAAGGATAGAAGTGTAAATGATATTGAGATAAACTAACTTTAATTTTCTTTTTCCAAGCTCATGTCTTTAATTTCTTTGGCCTATAGTTACAGTATCTTACTACTTTTCTGTGCATGTGTGCGTGTTCTCAAGTATGTGATGTATATGTATGTAATTTGCCTTTAAATAATATGGCAGAGCAACACATTTCAATAGAGTTGGTATTAAGTTACATATCATGTCTGTAGTAGTATAAATCTGGTAATCTCCAGTACTAACAGTCTCACTATAATGCATAAAATCTATAATATCAATATAAACTATCCCTGCACTAATTTTCCAAGGTGGGGGGATCTTTTTTCCCCCCTATATTATCTTAATGGGAAAATTCTTTCAGCCAAAATTCAAAAATAGTGTATACAAAAACAATCTAGGTTGTAGACTGAACATGATTTTTTTTTTAACTCTGAGGTTTCTGTAATGTAACTGAAGAATTTGCTTTGTATTGCATAGTACAGATATAGTAGTTTAATGCTCATGTCTCTTTAATTTGAAATTTGTCTAAGCTTGTCCATATCTATGTTTATGACTCCTTACTGCTATTTTTTTTTTTGCTAAAATAATTTATCAAAACTAAAATGGAGATAATAAAAGAAACAAAACATGCAAAAAGATACACCATTAAAGTGTTTTGGGAAGGAAGACCATCATTTTTTCCTTCATTATAAAATACACTTTACTTTATTCACAGTAGCTGACTATTTCCAGCGAAAAGGAATAAGCAAGTTACATCACCTCTGCTTCAAATCAAAATCCACAGACATCCAGTTAGGAAATGTTTCTACATCTTTGATTACATGGTACAGTTTAATTTCTTATTTATAGGTTAAAGTGGCACTTAAAGCAGAGGCAGAAAATTACATTACGATTATGGTAATCATTCTATTCTTCCTTACAATGTTCATTCAACAGAGGATACTGTATTGATTAAGGTTTCATTTGGATGATTCTTTCACTTCAGTGGCAATCTTCTGGAAATACTTTTTATGCACGTTCAGACAAGCTGAGGGGCATGAAAACATCTTAATGCCTCCAGGAAAACTGTAGTAGTCAAAACACCCCTTTGCACAGCCCTAATAGCTGCCACTCTTACCCTTCTTGGTAACTCTCAGCCTATTTCCCTTCCTTATAGAACATAGTCAATAAAACTTGAAAGGATAGGAAGCAGAGGAACCTACTGTACCTTCATCAGTACCTTGAGAGTTCTGCTGAATGAATTATGCGCAATCCTGTTAGAAAAGAACACTTCATTTGCTAGCACCTATTCAGTTATTTTGCCTGTGCAATCCTGTGCAGTTATGGTTACAGTCACTTTCATATAATTACTCTACATAAAAGCTGGGGAGACCACACAGCGGATACGTAGGCAGTTGGAATAGAACTCAGATTTTTCATTCACCAGAACTCCAAAGGCCTTCTCTATGACTTACTTAGCCTCTGGTCTTCCTTTCTTCAGGCCCACACAAAAACTGGCTTACTTACTACTGCTTTTCCACCTTACCAGAAGCTCTATGCTTATAAACAGCGAAAGCAATTCCTATTGCTTCTATTCTCATCACTAAGACCACCGGGTACTTTCCTTCCCTTTTGGCTTAAGCTGCCAGCCAAGACCGCGTGTTTGGCCACACACAAATTTGTGGACATATAATCAACAGAACCAAAGGCTGGGTAGTCGGCTGGAGTGTTGCTGTGTGTCTCCCGTTTGTGTTCACAGAAAGGAGAGTGTGGTTGTCTGAGGTGGTTAAGTGTGTGAGAAAGTGAAGGTCTAGTGCAGGGGTAGGCAACCTTGGCTCTTTTATGACTCGTGGACTTCAACTCCCAGAATTCCTGAGCCAGCACAGCTGGCTCAGGAATTCTGGGAGTTGAAGTCCACGAGTCATAAAAGAGCCAAGGTTGCCTACCCCTGGTCTAGTGGTTAAAAAAAAAGGTTGTGTAAAAATGGCTGATCAGTAAGGAAATGAAAAGGCATATGAATAAGAAAGCAACCGTGGTAAATGTCCATTGCATCTTTATCACTGTTCCTTATCCCCTCCTCTCCCCACTCTGTAAAAATGAACCTACAGTCAATGCTTTTACCACTTCGTATGCCTTCTCATTTCCTTACTGACCAGCCATTTTTATAAAACAGCCTTTTCTTTAACCACTAGATCAGGGGTAGGCAAGCGTGGCTCTTTTATGACTCGTGGACTTCAACTCCCAGAATTCCTGAGCCAGCCATGCTGACTCAGGAATTCTGGGAGTTGAAGTCCACGAGTCATAAAAGAGCCAAGGTTGCCTATCCCTGCGACTAGACCTTCACTTTCTCAGACACTCACACTCCCCTATTAACACAAACTAGTGACGCCGTTGTAGACCCCTGCAGAGACATAGAGACACTATATAAGAAGAAAAAAACATTCCTGACACCCTCTCGACGTTTGCAGCTCTCCGGGATTTAAATTCTGGCAGCGGCAGTTTTCTCCCTCCAAAGTTGGGCATTTCCTCCCTCTCTCTCGACACACACACACACACACACACACACACACACAAACCCGCTTCCAAGAATGCAATCCCGGGATGGTCACCAGGGTGACCGGGGTGGGGGGCCTGCCTTGCAACCGAAGGGGGGAAAAGACCTTTCGGCTTTCCTCGCTTCCAGGGCTCGACGGACTGCCGGGATCCTCTTTTGCACAACGGGGCGATGGAGGCTGGCCGCAGCTGGTCGTTTCCCTCCCGGAAGCGCTTAAAAGTCACGCTCCAAACTCATCCCGGAGCTCCCTCGTCCTTTTGCCCGCGGACATAGGAGACTCTTCAAGGCGCCTCTCCCGGACACCAGCCTTTTGCCCTTGACTCGCTATCTCCCGCCAGCCACAAGAAGGTAGAGCCTGCCACCTTCACAAATAACGTGACAGAGGAGGAGCAAGGAAGGAAGGAAAAGACTCGGAACAAGGAGGACGACGCTGCCTTCCCCGACTCACCGCCGCTGCACTTTGCAGTCACCTGGGCCCCCAACTCTCGTCGCTACCGCCTCCATGTTTGTTGTGTCTCTCGGAGCTAAACGTAACTCATCGCTTCTCCTTAACCAAGTCCCGCGAGAGTTCGGTACGGTCTGTCCCGCTCGGCCAAGGGGGGAAAAGAGGGGCTGTAAGGAGGATTTCCCAAAGAGTTCGCTTGGTTCATGGTTTTTACAAAAGTTTCCGGCTCTCGAACGGAGATTGCCTCCGGAGCGTGCGGGAGAACCACGCACTAACCAGTCATTTGGGTTGGCATAAACACCGTCTATCTGAGCATAATTTTAAGCAAAGGTTCGTCGCTTGGGCAGATGGCAAGATTTCCTCTGGAAAGGACGACACGAGTGGAGCCGCCATCATTCTTGCCCCGCTGATGCTGGATTCCAACGGGAACCAGAAGTAAAAAGAATAGCACCATCTCCTATCTCTTTGAGGTCCTCAATGCAAATCTCTGATTATCAAACCTCGCGCGGCTGAGCGGGGGGGGGGGGGAACAACCTTGAAGGCGAATTGGGATACAGCAGTAGCGAGAGTGCTTAGAGATATCAACGATGGCACCCGCGGGAGCTTTGGCTTTGCTGAGATGCTGCAGGAAAGTAAGGGGCTGTAAAACTTGGTGGGGCGAGATGCAAAGAGCTGCCGCCCTTGATGGCTCCGTGGCAGAGCGCGAGTTTAACGCGCTGAAGGGTCGCGGTCGGTGCCTGGCACATCCAGATGTTCAAATAACTAGGGCATTGGGGAGAAAAGTTGCTGGTCCAAGTATACAGATCGAGACAAACCCGTGTCCTTGCCGTGGGCAGGAGGCGAAGAAGTTATGAAGCCTGTTTTGCCTACGGGGAGACAAATTCTGAGATGTAGACTCTAAGCTTGGGGTGTTGTGTGAAGCAAACGTTGTGGCTTGCAACACATAATTAATTGCCTAGGCTCTAGGCACTAGAGCAATAAATGAACCTTGACAAGGAACAAAAGCTGTATTTATTGGACCGAGTATGTAAACCGATGAGAATCCAAACGGGACATGTTAAGAGTAGAGTTAGTTCCCTTGCTCTGTGTTTACTCCAAGACGTGGCCGCGTTTGGTTGCAGTCCACAGCTTTATGTTCCGAGATGGCAGTGTTCAGGGGATACAGCATTAAAGCATTGTCACCTTTTAAAATTAAGAATGTATTGATGTTGTATGTAATGAAGGGGTACGGATAAGGTTAGGGTTGTTCAACGAGAAACTACAAGGATAATAAGGTGAAAGGAATATCAGAACTTTTGTATGGCTGTGCTAATTTTCATAGAAGTCCAGTTGCTGAAATTTCTCCTTGTGCACTTATTAAAGATTCAGAAGTCTTTTTGATTTGCTTGATGCGGCCCTAAAACAAGAGTAAATTCTCTCCAATGCTCTTTTCACAGCGAGGAATCTGTAATAGGCAAGCTTTAAGCATATGCCACATTGGCACGTCAAAGGCATACAACATAGTATATTCTTTTCCATTTTTCATTAATTGCAAAAGTGAACCCTTACAGTATTGCACTTAAGAATGAGCCCTGCATGCAGACCTAATTCTGAGTAAAGAGGCTCAAGATTTTGTTATAAATCTCATTTTAAAAATAAAGTTGTGTTTACATTTTATAATACGCTCATTAAATATACCTTGTGTTTATCCAGTTCACTAAGGAACTCTAATATATTTACATAGACCTAAGCAAGATAGTTGAATTGAGAATGAAGTAAAAGGCATAAGAGAAAACATTTAGTCATTGTAAATTAAGATACTTTTAGCACCTTTTAAAATAAATACAGGTAATCCCCAAGTGACTAGCGTTCACTTAACACTCGTTCAAAGTTATGTGATGAGCGCCCCCTTAGTGCTTACAAGCAAGTCCCGTAGTAGATTGCACCAGGCAGTCGTTCGCCCTTTTGAGCAACCATAGAGGCTCTGCAACATTCACCCTGGTTATTCTCTCCCTCCCCACCCCAGGTCTCGCTAGGCACCAGGCCTTCAATACTCACCCAGCGAAGATCAAGATCCTTCGCTTTCTTGGTTGCTCCAGGCCTTCAGTGCGTTCGCAGAGAATGGAGGCCTAAAGTAACGCAAGATCACATAAGATCAGTGGGGCGAGATCTCACGCTACTGATCTCGTGTGAGCTCATGGTACTTTAGGCCTCTGTTCTCTGCAACGGAGAATGGAACTGAAGCTGGGGGACGCTTCCACGTGCCTCTGGAGGCTGGATCGGGGCTCCGGAGGCCTCTTCCAGGCCACTGCGGCTTGGATCTAAGGCCGGGGGAGGCTTCCGTGCCCCCTTCGTGGCCCGATCCATGCTCCAGAAGCCATTTCCAAGCTGCTGCTGCCCAGATTTGAGTCCAGGGAACGCTTCCACCACCACCCCGTAGCCCAATCCGGGCTTTGGAGGCCTTTTCCAGGCCCAACCGGGTTATCGGGTATCTTAGTGGGTCAGGGAGGCCTTGGGGGCCTGTTCCAGCACTAGGCCCTCCATGGCCTTCCCCACCCTGAGATACATCATGTTCACTTAACGAGCTGCGTGTGTTTTAACGAGCAAGGGAGTGATCTCGTACCTTGAACAAGATTCACGAGTTTTTGAGTTATGAGTGGAATGGGCAGGCTCCATTACACTTGTAACTCGAGGACTACCTGTATATTACCCATATGTTTAAGGCTTATATATATAATCTGTAACACAGCCATGTGGAACAAATTAGAAGTTCAGATTTTATATGAAATATCATTATTTGCTGAATCTAATATTAACTAAATATTTTCTTTTTTTTTCATCTTAAAATATTTTTGCCCATAGACAGGATGGAACATGCCGCTCTGCATAAATCATTGGATGACTCATTCTTGTCTCTCTAAATCTTTCAAATCAGAAGCTTTGCCACATATAGTCAAAGAAGGATTAACTTGTGCTCCACTTCAGACATTTACAGAAGAAGAGTTAATGATTAAAGAATCAGGTAATGTGTCCAGTGTAATTAAACAGATTCAAATTCTTTCAGCAAAATCCTCTATAAATTTGGCAGGATTTCCACTAGTGATTTAAACAACTTCTAGAATTGCTCAACTTTTTTTGTGCTGATACAACAGTAACAAGATCAGATTTTGGAAAACCTCAGTGATGGAAGCTTGATTTTAAAAGATTATATAAGTACCTAATAGAGAAATACCCCAAACCCAGTATTTATAATAGTTTGTAAATGGGTTAATTTATAAAATATTTGCTCCTACCTGGGTATTGTGCAAATAGCAGTCTGTGTAATTCTGAAGGACAGAACACTGACTGTTTATGCTAAAGGCATGCTAATAATATGAGTGCAACAAATTCAGTTCTTCTAGCACTGTTCTTCATAAGCACGGGTGTCAAACTCGCCATGTCACATGACGTGTCATGATGTATTGCAACTTTTTTTGCATTGCTGGAGCTGGGGTGGGCACGGCCTCTGTATGATGTAACCAGACCATGGGCTGGCAGTTTGATACCTCTGATCTAAAGACTACCTTACATGCCAATATATTGTTGTTTGTATCCCTCAGCTTGGATGTTTGTGCAGTGTATTGGCAGTCAGTCAGTCTGCTGTTTAAATATATATATATATATATACATTAAAGCTTGATTCCTTTATATCCTTGTTTCTTTTATTTAGTAAAAAAATTTGCTCAAGAGCAAATTGTTCCATTAGTACAAAAAATGGATGCCGATGCAAAAATGGATGATTTTTTATTTCAAGGACTATTTGAAAACGGGGTTTGTACATTATTTTTTATCCTTAAAAATGACTTACGCTTCTTTTTCAACTTTAACTACAATGTGAACATGCTAGGTTTTATACAGTATGAACTCTATGTACGTGCAGTATATTGGTTGTTAGGTATAATAATATGATATATTAGAGTATTATAATCTAAAAATGAATTATGATCATTGCTGAGTGAACATTGGGACAGAATGCTGGTTTTCATTTTTTTCTGTAGATTTTACTCTTTATCTTCTACTTAAAGGGCAGACAATTTAGCAAATTGCTTCAGTGGAAATAGATTGGGGAAGATACATGTGTAGTGTGCAACAAGCATTTTGATTATTCTTTAATAAGAATAAAGATCTCACAGCAATCAACAAGAGTGGTTTATGTATCACTGATTTCAAGGTCTGCTGCCTAATAGTCCATTGACTTACTAGATTTAATCCCAAGTAATTATACAACTAATTGTGGAATTATTTAGAAATTCAATTGGATGTCAGTGGCTCTTGCTTTGACTAGAACTTTTGATATTGGAGTATAAATCTCGACTTGTACACTTTTCTTCTCCATAAAACAAAAACTTATCCTGTTTTTCTTAGTTAATGGGTATTGAGCTTGAAGCAGAATATGGAGGAACTGGATCTTCTTTCTTTTCTACCATTCTGGTTGTTGAGGAGTTAGCCAAAGTTGACCCATCGGTATCACTTGCGTGTGAACTCCAGAATACTTTCAGTAATAAAATGTTTACAACATATGGCACAGAAGAACAAAAGAGAACCTATTTGCCCAGGTTGGCAAAAGACATGGTAAGTAAAGTACATTCATGAGTAAGTTAAAACATAAATTTACAAAATAAATGGCAGTAGTGCCATTTACTATTACTAGTAGGTGAGTAATATTACTATTACTATTAATATGAAATTAAGATCCCAATCAACATGCAGGTTACACTGAAACACTGTGATGTTCAGGTTAACATTAGCATACTCCCAATTGGAATTGCACAGGCAGTCCTTGACTTATGACCACAATTAGAACCAGAATTTCTGTTGCTAAGCAAGGCAGTTGTTAAGTCGCAGCCAGTTTTACAACCTTTTTTTTGCCATGGTTGTTAAACTCCTGCAGTGAAGTGAATCCAGTTTGCCTCATTGATTTTGCTTGTGGGAAGCCAGCTGGAAAGGTTATCCCAAATATACTGCAAGCATCATAAATACTTGCAGGTTGCCAACCGTCCGAATTTTGATCATGTGATGCTGCTATGTTCGTAAGTGTGAGGATCCATTGTAAGTCACTTTTTTCAGTGTGATTGTAACTTCGAATGGCCGCTAAATGAATGGTTGAAAGTCGAGGACTACCTACTGTATGTAGAGTTGCTATTGATTTATTAGACATTAAATGTCTGTGTTTTAAAACATAATCTCTTACTTAGATTCACTGTCTTGGATACTTGCAAATTTTGAAGTTCAAAATTATAGCGTATTTCACTGAGTAGAAAACCAAGGGCAGTCTGGTGGTTTTTGACAGAAGTCTGAAACGTTAATTTTAAATGTTACATTTTATTAAATTATTAAATATTTCATTTTTTTATTTATCACATTTATATAGCCGTCCATCTCAATGAAGATGACTCTGAAGGGCATACAATAAAAAACAGACCATAGAAAAACCAAACATTAATAAATAAATAAATAATATTTAAAAATATTAGGAGGGAGCATCTTTACACACATTTAAATTAATAGCTTTGACCTGATCAAATATGCAGTAAATATATGTGTGAAATAGAAAAGGTGGCATGGCTAATTACATTTAAATAGCATATCCTTCAAAACTATTGTAAAGAGAAAGCTTTTCAAATGTTTTTCTTGATTGACTACCTGCCTTTATCATTATATCAATGGCTAATTGTGCCAATACAATAGTAACCAAGCCTTTGCCTCTGTATTTTATAAATTGTCTTGACCTTTTTCAAGGCCAATACCATAAAGGGAAAGATTTCTCTGATTACTTTGCCAAACCTAGATGTTCAGTGTCCAGTGGAATTAGCTGACAACTGAATTCTATGTTAAATGGTAGATGGGCGCCATCTGCATTTCTGAATCAGGAGCTGGCAGTGATGCTTTCTCCATGAGGACTCGGGCTGAAAAGCAAGGGGATTACTACATCATCAATGGATCAAAGATGTGGATTAGCTTTGCAGAACAAGCAGGAATTTTTTTAGTGATGGCAAATACAAATCCTTCAGCAGTAAGTAGTTAAAATCACTGTAATGTGATTGTACATGTATTGCTATACTAAGGTTAAAAATATACGGTAATGCCAACCTTACATCTTGCTTTTTCCAGTTGTCATTTTCACATACATCTTCAGTTTATAGAGTATCTTCATCTGCTTGGAAACTTCAACAGACAAATAGGGGCAGAAATCGTGGTCTTTGCCTCTGTTCCAGGGTTTTCCCCCCATTAATCTGTGGAGACCTGCTTGTTCAGACCAATGGTGAACAGCAAAGCCTACTATGCTTGAAAATAAGGTGTTGGTACTTTGTGACCACACTGAAGATTGAAGTTTTGACCATTTGCAGGTGGCCTAAAGGATTATTCAGGAAGGGACTGTCTTTGATCCAATTACAATGCAAACAATAAATAGCCTGCTTTTCTTTGCTTTGCTTCAATGTTTTCAAGCTATCTTGGTCTCAAACAGTTTGCTTCTAATCAGAGGCTGATACTCTCTTCACCTATCCAGGAGAATGTTGCAGATCTTATGCTGTAAAGCAGGGGTATCAAACTTGCAACGTCATGTGATGTGTCGCGACGTATCGCGACTTTTTTGCCATTGCCGGGAATGGGGTGGGCGCGGTTTTGCTATGATTCATTGGCCCGCGGGCCGGCAGTTTGACACCCCTGCTGTAAAGTGACAAACACAAATTTTTAGTGCAGCTGAAGTTTCATAAAAATGCCAAACCTCATGAGAGATAACTCCTTGAATCTCATTTAATGAAACAAAATCTTATGTAATTTCAGATTCCTTGCCTGAATGAGCAATTTACACTGAAGTCTCACAAATTTTTGTAGTTTTTTATTCATTTGAGGTTTGTATGTACAGTATATCTGTACAGATGATCCAGAAGTGGTGTGGAATGGTACGGGCATTGTGTCGCCAAACCAAACACTATTATATTAACCACGGTGCTTTTGCTTAGAGAATCCATGCGAGTCTTGATATAAAATACGATGCTATGGCAGGAACTGCAGTTGGATCACCACTGTAGGAAAAAGTAATCCCCAATTATGGATGCTCAAAGAAGGATCCCCTTTTTTGAATAGAACTTTGAGTATGAATTATTTTGCAAGGGTTGGAATATATTTATCTGGCATATACTCACCACATGGTTAATGTATTATTGTATCTACCTTTTTTCCCAGGGCTATAAAGGAATTACATGTTTCATAGTAGACCGTAATACAGATGGCCTGCATGTAGGAAAGAAAGAAGATAAGCTGGGAATCAGAGCAGCATCTACATGTCCTGTAACATTTGAAAATGTGAAGGTAGAATAAAACTTGTAAAGCAGTGTTCTGAATTTCTAATTCTATCAAGTAAGTTATAGGAGTCCATGAATTTGGAAAGAGAATGATGTATTTCAGGTTTGCATTTTGTATAGATGGGTGATAGCCTAATATATTAAATATATTATCAATTGGAAGGCACATGGCCATAATTTATAATTAACCAAGCTTAAAGCCAATTTCTGAATATCAAAAATTGCACCATTTTGGTTTTCTGCTTTGTTTTTATTTATTTATTTCTAAAATTTGGATATCGCCATTTAAAACTAGATTTTCCCAGAACTGTTTTTGAATGCAGTGTCATAATAATGGCCTTTTTATTTTTGGAAACAACAAAAAGAGTCAATACTGATTATATATATATATATTTTTGGTTTTTTTTTATTTTGTTTTTGTAGGTTCCTGAAAGCAATATAATGGGACAAGTTGGTCAGGGTTATAAGTATGCTATTGGAATGCTGAATACAGGAAGAATTGGCATAGCTGCGCAGGTGAGTAAACTGGAAAATAGTTGCCATCAATGGGCAAATCACAATAAAAGAGGAACTTTAACTCTAGAGTTCCCCTTTGATTTTGAGAATAATTGCCCTTGCAATAGTAAGCTGAAAAAGAAGCTCAGTAGTCACACGCAGAGTTTAAATGCATGAGAGAGTCAGTTAAGCAGGAATGAGAACAGTAAGTATGGAAACAATCCTGACAGTTGATTCCAAAGAAATGCATATTTAGGGATAAAAGTGTTGTCCATACATAATAGAACAACGAATAATTTTAGGCATGCTCAAAAACCTGACTTTGGATTTTTGCCTTTTTGAACTACAGGCAACTGTCACATACTACAATCTACCTTTGAAAATGCCATCTGTTTCAGAAATCGCTTATTATGAAAAAAGGAACTATTTTTATTTTTAATGTAATTTTATTGAAAGTTTTAGAAAGGAGGAAAAATGAGTTCAGACTAAAATAGAATAAGAAAGGGAAATGGGGAAAAAAGAAAAAGCCAAGGTAGAAAAAGAAATGAAAAAATATATGAAAATTAGAAAAGAAAAAAAATGATATAAAGTTGTGACTTCTGATCTTCTTTATGGTGGTTACAAGTACAATTGTACATTTACCTCTTTCCATAAAGTTATGCCGTGACTCTGTTCTTCGTATATACTATATAATCAACAAAAGAGAAGGGAACTATTTTTCAATCAAATGAAATCATAGCTTCTTTTGGGGGCATGGAATTAGCTGCATAAATTGTTGAATCACAGCTGCTGTCTAATCTTAATATTAAATATTACAGTTACTCTTTGTATGGATGATAAATGATCATAAGAGATCCATCAAAATTACATTGATAGAATAGTTATTCTGCTAAGACAATCCTAGAAATTCCAATATGTATCTATAGCTGCTCTGAATAGTCCATTTGAAGTCTTGTAACTTTTTCCTGGATTTAATTCTTGTGAAAGACAGTTTATCATTCTTGCGCTACATTTGGGTTCTTTGTGAAGTTCCATACTTGGCAGATTAGATGTCTTTTGTTGTGCAGAAGGACTTTATTTCAAAAGTACCGATCCAAACCTTTGGAGTAAAGCAGATAACTCTGTAATCTATTCTTTGCCGCAGTACTTCTCTTACTCCTCATTAATTCTTTTTTTAAGGGAAGGCATTTTATGGCTTCCAGATGTTTCTGGATTACAGTTTCTTTGTTTCATGGCCCTGGGTCATATTAGCTGACTATGTTAGGACAGCATGCCCGCTCTATTTTAGGATGAACAAGTCTAGGATTAAGTTACCTGGCCTTCTGGAACCGCTATTTAGTTATAAACCTATTTCAATAGTTTCTATGAAATTAAGTCGCTATGTGTGAATTAAGGTGCCTTGAAATAATTTTAATGTTTGTTTATCTGCACACAGATGCTGGGATTAGCACAGGGGTGTTTTGATCATACTATCCCATACACAAAGGAAAGAACCCAGTTTGGAAAAAGCATTTTTGATTTTCAGGTATTGATTGATGTGTTCTGTGCAAGAGATATAAACATAAAATATAAATAATTATGACTGGTAGAGATAGAGATAAACATTATAAACCATACTGTAATGTTACTATTCTACAGCAGCTAATACTAAGTATTTACCACAAAGTAATATATTGCTAGTCCATGTACGATATGCCATAAACTAAATAAATAATAACCACAAAGTATTAAATTGAACAACATATCTAAAATGTGACTACCGTTCCAGATGAAAATTCTTTACCTTTTATTATTTCATATATCATGACAAAATTGTTACAGAATTCATCTGCATTGTCAATACTGATAGCAGTTGTAATACATATTATATATAGTACTGTATGTAACACATTTTGATGAATGACAGTGACAACAGTGATTTCCCCTTCTTTGTCCAGTTTTTAATTCAATTTTGGCCATTCTAGCCACTGACCTTTACACACTCACTCATAACTAAGCACTTTCAAGCACAATTAGATTTATAACTGAGTAAAGGATTGCTTAAGAATTGCAAAGATGCTACCATAAGATTGAGAACTCCATGTATAGTTGATGGTCATGAAAGGAGATTTAATTTTTCCTGAAGCTAATGTTTCAATATAAGTTTTATTTCTAAGGGACTGCAACATCAGATTGCTCAAGTGGCCATTCAGATTGAAGCTGCAAGGTTGCTGGTCTATAATGCTGCCCGATTTGCAGAAACTGGGAAACCATTTATAAAACAAGCAAGCATGGCTAAATATTATGCAGCAGAGGTAAGCTCTCTATTTTTTTTTCTGTTTGAATTTTAAGCAGAACTGAAGGGGAATTATTGTTTCTTTCAGGTCTCAACTCTCTTTGTTTCAGCCAGCTACTGTATGTAGAGGAGAAAAATGGAACCTTAAATATATTTTATAGGATTATTTAAAAAAGAAAGAATAAATTATTTCCTACTTTAAAAGACAGAAATTATATTATAAATTTCGATTTTGTGTGTGTTTCTTTGCAAACTAGATAGGACTTATATGCTGCTCTGGTCCCAAAGGACTTCTGAGTAGAGTTTTGTTTTTGGGAGATATTTTTGCTGCCTTGGACCACTCCCTGCAGTTTTTCTGGCAAGGTTTTTTGGGAAGTGGTTTGCATTGCTTCCTTCTTAGGGCTGAAAGAAAGTGACTGGCTCAAGATCACCCCACTAGCTTTGCGCGAAAGGCAAGATTAGAACTCACAGTCTTCTAATTTTTAGCTTGATACCTTAGCTACTACACCAAACGGGCTTTCAGTGGCTAATAGTCCCTCTTAAAATAAGAAATTAAATACAAACAAATTAGAGTGTGCTATCACTGCAAATTTTATCTTATTGAAGACTGTAAATTGAATCATATACTGATTTGTTATCTCTGAAATAAAATTCAAATTCAGGTTGCCATGAGATCAAACATTTAGTTTGGTTTGGTTTAAGCATCCCCATTTAATTTTTTGTCATATGAATATCAACAGTTCTTTGTCAGATTCTTCCCAGGTTATATGGCAAATTTCATTATTATTTCATAATAAACTGCTATGATCAAAAGAATTGTAGTTTAATTTGAAGATATTTGGTTTGGGGAAGGAGGATAGATTATATTTAGAGAAGGTATGAAAGTGACCTATATATTGATTAGAGTTAAAGTATGTTTATATTTGATTGTTTTTATTTGAGTTAAAGTATGTTTATATTTGATTGTTTTATATGTGGGTAGTTATATTTAGATTGGGGATGATGTTTATTTAATCCTGTAATCAGCTCTGGGAAGTCTGGGGGGGGGCTGGGGCTGGGAGGGAGGGTAGAAATAGAAATAAAATAATTAGGAGTTTTGATGTATGGTGAGAAGTAGAAATGTGTATTAAATTAGGAGTATTGATGTATGGAAAAATAGAGAATTTTGAGTGCTCGGCTAGCACCTCCAAACCGTGTCTGAAGGGTGGGAGGAGGAGAGAGGAGAGGAGAGATAGGAGGAAAGTAGGTAGGTAGTAAAGAGGGCGGATGTGGGGAGGGGGTGCTGCCGAGCTGACGCTCGGCTAGCGCCCCTAAACCGTGTCCGAAGGAGGAGGAGAGGGAAGGAGGTGGGATGTGTAGGGAGGTTGAAGGAGAAAAGAGGGCGGACGCGGGGAGGGGGGGCTGCCGAGCTGTTACTGAAGTTGTTATGTTAATGTATGCTTATATTTGTATTTGTATGGGGGGGGTTATTTTAAAATTAATAAAATTTATATATATATATATAAAAAAAGAATTGTAGTTTCCCAACCGAAATCCATAAGCTTTAGAGCTCTTTAATTATGCATCATTAGCTTAACATGGCATTATTTGATTAATGTTTTGTATTTTTTGTAATATATTTATTAGAGGGGTGGTTAATAGTAGAAACCAAAGAGTTCATAAACCCTCACAACAGTCTTACTGTATATCTTAAAGGTTGCAACTCTAACAACAAGTAAATGTATTGAATGGATGGGTGGAGTTGGCTTCACGAAAGATTATCCAGTTGAAAAATTTTACAGGGATTGCAAGATTGGTAAGTTGTATATGATGCATTTCTATGTTGCATTATATTGAATTCAGAATTTAATTATTGCAAAGCTGTTAAGCATCAATTTTAAGAGTTTTCTGATAGATATTCAGTGGCAAATTCTTCATTTATCTGAAAAGAAGCATTTTTCTTTTCTTTTTCCTTAGTAATTTTCCTTTAAAATGGAATTGTTAGCTTAGATGAGTTGAAAATATGGTAACGAAAGCTGATACATTTCTTCTATCTAATTTTCTTAGAGGAGGAGTAGTTAAAGTTCACAGTAATTTTCCTTTGTATGCATGTTTATGTGTATATATTATTCATTAGATTTAGTTATTAGATTTTTATCCTACCTTTATTACTTTATAAATAACTCAAGGTGGTGAACATACCAAATACTCCTATTACATCCATTTTAGCCTTTTCATTCATCTCACTTCCCTGAATATCCTCATCAGTTCTGTGAATAAATGTTACACCACCTTCATTCAGTTCAATTACATCCTTTCTCTTAATTTCACACACAATGTATTTATTTTTCTTCCTTTCATTTGGTTAATTAATTCATATCCTTGTTAAGTAAGCCATGATGGTTTTGTTCACACATAATGCTTTAAATCATGGCTTATGGCTGAGCTGATACATGATCAATCAAAATAAAATAAATCACGTTATGCTTTAGAACAATATATAAATCCAATCATTGTTTCATCAGTAAACGACTTAGTGATTAATATATCCCTAACTCCACTGAACTGTCATTTATACAGGTTGTCATTGAAATAAATTTAACAATTTCATCCATATCAATGTAATAGCCTGTGAGAGATAGGAGGAGGAGCTACAGACTAGACAAACAGCATGTAGAAGATTTCTCAGAACCAGGAGGGAGAATGGAAAATCAGAAACTAGTCCCTAGTTTTTCAGGGAGTAAAAGGAACATAGAGGAGAAATATTTTCAGTCCTGCAAAATTGTGTTAATGTAAGCTTATAATAAAGATAAAGTTTGTACTCATGGTTGAGCTTCGTGTCTGGACTATACAAAGGACTAACAGCAGTTGATTGCCTCCCTTACATTTACCTTGTGATAAAGTTTTACGTATCTACTGAAAGGCTAACAAACTGCAGGTTGCAAACATTCCTATTAAAATACATTACAGAATGTTTAGCTCGGCCTTGATTACATATTGAATCTTTACAGAAGGGTGTTTGCTGAAAGTGCTTTAATCAGTTTTTGTATGCCTCCCTGATTCATTTTTTTCCCCCTGATGGTTTGTTTCAGGTACCATATATGAAGGAACTTCAAATATCCAGTTAAACACTATTGCAAAATGCATTGCCCAAGAGTATTGAAATTCCAGGAATTAAGTGACTGTTGCCAACCTGATTACTTCTCAGAAAGTTAAATATGGTTTTACTTCTTTGTGGGTTGCAGATTGCTGGTTTTAGAACAAGGAAACAAATTACAGTAATTTTTAATCGTTGTGCAACTTTCTGTACAAGTGTACAATGTAAATGGCTGGACTATTTGGAATCAGTAATACGACCCTAAGAATTCTTACTTGTTTTTCCAATCACTGTGAAATAAGAGGTTATGCACTTCCACACTCCCTTTTAAACAAACAAAGAAACAATCTTGTCTGCTTTTGTACTAGACCAGTGGTTCTCAACCTTTTCTTCACCATGGATACCCCTTTAAATATCTTTTGTGGCCACGAACCCCCCAAGACTTAACTCAAGATTTAAATCATAACATTTCTTTAAGCCTTCGCGGACCCTGTGACGACATTGAGGCCGCTCAGGTCCACGGACCACAGGTTGAGAACCACTGTATTAGCCTGTCAAATATTTAGGACGTCTTTATAATTCTGTTTATCAAAGTGATAAGCCTGAGCATATTCAAGAATGTTCCAATACTCTGCAGCACTTGCATGTTAGTGCTAATAGTAACAATCAGTCCTTGAAAAGATTATCTTACTATTTAGAAAATGACAAAGTAAATACTTAAGAGCTGTGGTGGTGCAATGGTTAGAATGCAATATTGCAGGCTAATTCTGTTGACTGCCGGCTGCCAGCAGTTTGGCAGTTTGATTCTCACCGGCTTAAGGTTGACTCAGTTTTCCATCCTTCTGAGGTCGGTAAAATGAGGACCCAGATTGTTGGGGGCAATAGACTAACTCTGTAAACTGCTTAGAGACGGCTGTAAAGCACTGTGAAGCAGTATATAAATCTACGTGCTAGTGCCAGCTACTCAGTGATTGGGTAACTGGGGAGATGAAGCAGATTTTTATCCTATGCTGTTCAGATAGTGATACTGTATGTATGTATGCATGTATGCACGCATATATATTTGTTAGTAGTATGGTAGATTTCCTAACGGGAACCCTGTTACCTTTGTTTGAAGTGTCCAGTGTTTAACGACAAGATGAAAGTCATTCAGAAGCAGCAGTTTTATCACTTTGTTCCAGGTTTCTTAATCCCACCCAGTAGAACCAATATTGTAGGGTTTGGGGTTTTTTTAGGAGCTTCAGAGTTCTAAATTTTCTCCATCAGGGACATAGTTGAGGACAGGGAAAATTTTGGTTCTTATATACAGTATACAAAAGCCTGCCAATTTTATCCTGTTTCTCCTTTCCTTATGCCAGAGATTTTTCTATGAAGGCAGGGAGCGGAGATACTACTTTCAATTCAGAACTCTCTCTTAAATCTCAAAGAGGGATTCCCAGTCTTTACTACAGTCCTGCAATTGCAGCCCTTTTACACTCTATGTTTGATCCTCAGCATTCTGTATAAATTAAACATAAGTACCAGTATTCCCAATTAAACATTAGTTTCTGAAGAATTCTATTTATTTTGACATATGAACTGTTGCAATGTATTCTAGAATAATGTGTTAGAATAGAGGCCTCCAACCTTTTGGGCACTAGGGACCGGTTCCATGGAGAGAGTTTTTTCTGCGGACCAGAGACTGTGGTTTTACGTGCTTCCTGCATCCTGTGGATGGGGCTTTGCTTGTTTGCACGGACCGGTTTCTGGCATGCTGAGGCCCAGTGCCGGTTCGTGACCAGGGGTTGGGGACCCCTATGTTAGAAAGCATAGATGATATACTGTATAAAGACAACAAGAACTTGTGTTTTACATTGAACAATGTGTGGAAATGTTGGCTTCTTGAAAGTGCAAATAAGAAAAAATACAAGTTAAATCAGTGAGCTTGCCTTAGCTGCCATCACAATCTTTGCCTTTATTGGATTATAGAATGTATTCTACCTCATTGGGAGGAATTGTGGCAACAGACTTATCAGATGAAAGTGCCTGCTTTATTTAGTGCCATATTTGAAATATAGATGTGTCTTACATATATAAATCACCTATGTATGATATGTGCCCCTACTAGTACTCACGTTTCCCCAAAAGTAAGACTTACCTCGAAAATAAGCCCTAGCTTGATTTTGGGGGGTTGGCCTAATATAAGCCCTATCCCAAAAATAAGCCCTAATTTTGGGGTGAGGCACACACCTAAAAATCAAGCTGGGGTGAGGGTGTGGAGCTACCCCATACGTCCTGTACCCACTTAACTTGCAGCCAGGCCTCTCCTCGCTGGTCTACTTCTTCTGTGGCATTCCAAGGCCTGCATTTCACAGTCAGCGTCCTTTCCGGAAGGACACTGCAGCCGAGAACCGAGCTATGGATTCAATCCATAGCTTGATTCTGCAAGGTTCTGCAAGATTGAATCCATAGCTCGGTTCTCAGCTGCAGTAGCCTTCCGGAAAGGCCTTTGACTGCAAAATGCAGGCCGGAGCTCCATTCTTAGTTGCAGAATGAAGCTGCTCCTTTGGCCGCAGAAGGAGTGGGCCGGCTGGGCAGGGCTGTTGGTGCCAGAGGTGAATGGAAAAGACACCCTCCAAAAATAAGATCTGGTGCCTCTTTCAGAGGCAAAAAAAATAAGACCAGGTCTTATTTTCGGGAAAACACGGTAAGTAAGACTGATCATTTGAAAAGGGGATTATTCATCGCATTTGCACAGAGGAGCAAAGAAGACAAAAAGGACATGAGAAAAGAAGCAACCGTAGAACATTGGGCAATAAATATACTGACATTGTAAACTGTCCAGAGATAGTTATAAAGCACTATGGGGCAGTATTTAACCTCTAAGTGCAATTGCTATTGCCGTTCAACATTCCTAAATGCTTATTGGCCCAAGCCTGTTAGAGAAGGGAGTGAAAATGAGATATGATTTGCACAGGGAATGTAACATAATCTCTTGTAAACGGCACTTGTGAAAGTTGCTTAGCTTCCGCTGACATTTTATATGCCTGGCTAGGAAGAAGTGGTGCGCTATGGAATCATCGTGTGTTTTGAGGTCCCACGGATGGTAGGAGAGAGACAGTTCTAAGGATAAGAACGCAAAGTCTCCAGAACATATGCAGGCCTATTGGTTATGTCTTTTAAATGTCAAGTGCTACAGCACTTTGTCTCATTTTTAAATTGTCTTCGGGGATGAGTAACATCCTACTCTTGACTGGGAAAGATATATACTGTATATACATGTGCACATAATACACACATATGTATTCTACTTTTTCTCTAAATCTTTAATGCTACATGAAAAGCCTTTGCTTGCCTCCCCCTTCTCAAGTAGCTCTGAGCCCAACAATAACAGAAATATAAATACAAATTAAACTGTGTGTCAGATAGCCATTTTGGAGAGTTTTACATCTTTTTAAGAAGTTTACCTCTGTTGTTATCTATAAAAGTCAAAAAATATTTTCCAAGTGGGAAATATGGTCAGCGGATGGATCGTATGTGCAAAAGCAATTTTTCCTTCTCTATTGTAGGCATCAGCGTCCTCCCACTCAATATTTTGGAAGTTTGAACAACTCTAAACTGTGTGGGGGAGTAGCTGAAGGTGGGACCGTTAACTCTTCTATGATTGTTTTAAAGAACGACATGGGTCAAACATGACGACTGTCCGTTAGAGGAGATCTGGATCTGTCGATTGAGATTTAGGTTGTATAATTGAAAAATAAACTTTAACAAAACATAGTTCGTAAGGAACGAACCTATTTATAATAGGACAAATGAAACCAGATGTACATTACTTGACATAAGATTTTTTAAAAAAAAAAGATTTTTTTTTCCAACTTAGCGGTACATTTTGCAAACAGAACATCTAATACGGGCATATGTTTGTATTGCTTGTATGTGTGTATTGGTGATGCAAACTTGATTCTTGGATATGTATTTTGTAATTTTCACATAGTGATTATAAGCTTCATCTGCAAAATAATGCTGTGAATCTGAAAAGGTAATTAAATGCAAAAGTTAAGTAAAAGAGTAATGAAATCGTATAAGGTATGTGGTCTCTACACACAAGGATCACAAACAGCACAAAGTGTTTGAGTTCCATGCTTCTTTACCTTCTTCCTATAGCATAGACCTCATTTGCCTCTTCCATTCTTCTTGCCAGCTATTCATAAAAAAATCAAATACATGTCAGATGTCTCATCTAGTTTATTGTATCCTGAAATAGCCGACACACAACTAGCCATAGAGAAAGTGACATTGGACATAACATCCTAGTGCGGGATGGGAAACTTGCTTATGTTAAGGACAACATATGGTACTTAGAACTGTGATGGCGTAGTGGTTAGAATGCAGTACTGCAGGCTCCAGGAGTTCGGTTCTGAATGGCTCAAGGTTGATTCAGCCTTCCATCCTTCCGAGGTTGATAAAATGAGGATCCAGATTGTTGGGGGCAATAGGCTGACTCTGTAAACCACTTAGATGACATGGTTCCGAAAAGAAGTAGCTTTTCAAAGAACTTTGAGGCTTATTTACCTTAAAGAATCCTTTATTAGGCTACATAGCTTCGGCACGAACAATAAAAAGCCAAAAACTGAACCTCCCACCCCACGAGCACCCGTAACAACGCATAACTCACTCCTTCATTTTACAGTCATCAATCATATGCTCCAATTAGTTTGAAGTGTGAATTTCTCCCTCCCTATTTCTCCTGTTACGCTGACCTTGGCTGTGCTATGCTGAGATATTGTTATGATTAGCTGGCATACTTTCCCACCTACTAGGCTAGTATTGTCTGCTTTAACTCTAGAAGTGATATGTAGGCTAAATAAAACATGTTTGCTTCTTCACATATGGCAAGCAAGAACATCCAATGTTAGCAGACTTGACATTAGAGAAGACTGTAAAGGACTGTGAAGCGGTATGTAAGTCAAATGCTATTGCTATTATGGTAGGACAGAGGTTGCATTCATTCAGTCCAGACACATGCACACACAGAGTGAAGTGGTTTGCAGGCTAACTATTTTTGCACACCATGGCCGTTCAAGCTACATTCCCATTCCCAAATCCATGCTGGCAGCCTATCAGGCATCCATATATTCAGTCACGTAGTTGCAGCAATGAAGGTAGACAGCATTTTTCTTTTCAAATTCTGCTGGTTTATGTATGTATTTTTAATGGGATACTAAAAAAAACCCCATAAAAATAATGTATTGTAAATAAATATACAGTAAATATTTTAAAACTAACTTTTAGGAACTTTTCCAAAGAGCAGTTGATACTAGTATCGTGGATGAAAAAAGATTGATTCCAGCTGAGTGGAT